GTGGTATAATTGTGCTAGAAATTAGACAGTGGTGGGGAGAAGCCAAGTGAAGACACGAGGGCATTCCTACAGCACTGAAAGAACTCCATTCTTTTCTTTTCTCCGCTTATTTAAAAACTGAAGAAAAACTTCCTGATTCTGCATGCCTCCCTATGTACATTTTAATTAAATCCCCCGGTCAGGCGTAAATTTTTGGTCCCTCCTGATTTTTTTTTTAATCTGTCACTCGGCCCGCCGGAACACAAGGAAGACGCTTAATGACGCTTGTATTAGTTGCATAATTCCCTCATGCATGTAATACATTTGTCATTATCTCCGTAGTCAGAATTCTAATCACTCCAGGGACCCCGGTCCACCGGCTGAAATATATTGTTCGATTCGCCGTACAAGCGAGGAGCAACCTGCTTCATCAAAGGTCGGGCACAGCCTAATGAAGAGCCGGAGATCAAAACCAAGATCAAAACTCTTCGCTGGGAGTTGGGAAGACAGGCTTCATAGCTGGGAATAAATAGCTCTTCTCCCAGAAGCTCTGCTGTGGGATGGGATTCTGTTAATCAGTGATAGTTTCAGCGAGGCCCAGAAAAACCGTGCCATCTTGCTGGATGTCAGCCAGCTGAAACAAGGTCCTTGAAATCATTAATTCTTGGTATATTGCAGAAATATGAGTGGTTGTTTAACTGTTTAAATGTCTGTTCCTGCCTTCAATCAAACTACAATACATTGACGATACTCTGTTGCGAATTTACAGCCAATTTGCTTGCAATCAGACCATTGAGTGGGCCCTCTCCAGTGTGAGCCCAGCCGATTGGACTGGGCCCGGTAGGACCTGCTGCACCTCCCAGGCGCTCGAATGGCTCAGGAGGTGCCAGCCAGTTGGTACCACCCAGCCCAATCATTGTCTTTCATTGCGTAGCAGGTATCACCCTCCCCCAATCCGTGGTCTAATCACGAACAGGTCCTGTGCAAATCAGATGTGAAGTAGGAGCTTTCCTTTTACACTGTGAAAAAAGCGCTCCTCTCTCTAAAAAAAAAACAACAGTTTTGTGTTAGCACCTTTATTGTTGTGCTTCCAAACTCGGTCACTTAAGGGGAAAATTGTCGTGCGAGAGCTGGGTCTGGGATTGATCGTTGTGATGTCGGGCCTGTACGGTCTGTAGAGTGACGCCTGATCTTCTTGTTGTTTCAGACCAGTGCCGTGCTGTGCTCGGGTGGCTGTGCGCTCCTGGCAGTGAGCTCACTGGTGGCGATCATCACGGTGTTCCTCCCCAGCGGAGTGTGTGAGAGGAGGGCCTGCACGCTGGCAGGATATATGCAGACAACAGCAGGTTAGTGTACAGGCCTTACCTGGGCTTACCTGGGCAGTTTCACCAGCCTGTATAACATTTCTCTCCTGCATGCTCTCTAACCCCCTGTATTTCTCGCATCTTCTAAGTTACTAATGCAATATGCATGAGTGCCTCTTACTGTAAGTTCTTAATAAAGAGCCCTGACCAGAGGAAACCAGTTTGTACATTTTAAGTATTTTTTTCCTCAAAGCATCTACTTGCTCTTTCCCTGAAGATGAATCTCCACTGTCTGGTACCCAATGTTCCCTCTGTCTACACTCTTTCTAGAAAACAAATACCTTACATCTGACATCTTAATACCATGTGAGCAACCGAGAAACCACTCCAGTACAGAGCGCACTGTGTTTTGATACCAGGAATTAATATCTGGATTTCAGACACTGGTGGTTCATTAATTCATTTCACAAAATGCACTTTGCTGCAGAATCTCATACTTCTGAAATTAGATTCTGTTTCTGGTTTTATCAGGCATCATTTTTTTCCCTTCAGGATATTTTTGGCAGAAGCTGACAAATTGTATCTTTTAGTTTTTTAACTGGTGGTATACTGAGAGCTTGTTACCATATTTGGTTAAAAGGTGGATGTTTTGCTAGTTTGCACTGACTTTGCTGTGTTCTGTTGCCAATCTTTTGCATGAATTTATTATTCAAGAACAATTGTGAAAAGGTAAATATGATAAGAAATCATTCAGAAATGCAGAAATTCTGAACTTACAGTATATTAAGTGAAGATTTATAGAAACCCATGATTACATTGAATGGTTTATAAAGAATATTATTAATAACTGACCTCACACAAACAAGAATATACACCTGTGAAGCAAATTAGTGTATGTTGAAAAGGATGCTAATATGAAAAGATAAAAACCACTTATCTCAGCTTAAAAAACTTTTGAGCTAATGCAATTTCAAGGTAATTCACGAGAAAGGCTGAGTAGTGTTCTGCTGAGACGTGACAAAAATTAATAAGGGTTTGTTTTCTTTTCCTCAGAGCTGTATATAATCATTACATCTACAAAAATAATAAAAAAGGAAATCATACTGGTCTGCTCATAACCCCAAAAAATACATTTTTGTGATTTTGATAGAAAACACCGTTATCTCGTAGTTCTAAAGTGTTACTATTAAACTGTATTGCTATTATTGTTTCTGCCTTGCAGTATTAAAGTATCACTATTCAGTACTATTACTATGACTACCTTGCAGTATTAGAATAAAAAAACAGAATATATTTCTTTTAAATCCCAGAAGCAAATAACCTGCTTGGCAACAGAGGTTGCTAGGATCACGTGGCAGTTGGAATTAGGCTATACCAGAAGAACGATTTAGTGTGTGTTGTAAAAAGAAAATTATATGTCTTTAATGCAGGTCAGTGGTTCAGAGAGTCTGCGGCTTTCTTTAATAAGACCCTGCATTCAGTTAATAGCAAAGTGTCACTGTAAACATTACACAGCAGCAATTTTCAAATTTAATGTTCCTTGCACAATCAAGTAATAGACAAATTGATTTAGTGCAGTGTATTTAAAATCCTAATTATGGACATCATTTAAATAGAATTGTATGCAGGTCTGAAATATCCCCTTCCTTTAATTAAAACAAAATAAGGTCATGGGGTAAGTAAAAGGAAGTTGGTTATGTGCCTTGGCGTCTTCAAAACACAAATGTTGAAATTCCCTAAGGGTATGTACTGTACATGGAGAATTACCAGTTCACTGAAGTGAGGACTTTATTAAAATAAATGAAAGCTGGACTGGCATTCTCATGTCCACTCCCCTTCCTTTATTAAGACAAAAGGCTCGGTTCTAAAATAGCTCTCATTTCAGAAAACAAACAGTGTAGTCATTGCTTTACAGTGCAAACATAAAAACAATGTCTTTAATAACTCTTTCTAGACTACAGCAAGTAGTATGAGTACACCAGGTACAATGCCAGGTTCAGATACCTGCAGTATGTGCATTAATATACATGGCTGTGAAAATGTCTTAGACAATTTGCACTGTTCTGCTCTTTTCACCCAGCAATTTCTTTATCATTCATAGAAATAAAAATCTATGGCTGTCTTTTCCAGAAATTTTGTATTATAGTACAGACAATAGGCTTTTAACTGTATTGCTGTGTAGAGAGGAATAAATGAGGTTCATGATGAGGAACACTTGACAACAAGACAATTAGAGTGGACAGGTAAATGTGATGGATGGTTGACTATAGCGCTTCATTTTGGCTGCTCACATGTAGTTTGTCTTTAGTTGTAGTAATCAAGTTTTTGAAGATTCTGCTCAATGTGAATTTTCGATTGCTAAATGACAAACATTTTTTCTTGTGTTAATAACTGTCAAAACCTGTTACAATAGAAAATACTAATGGAAGCTTTGGGTAAACTTGATGATCATTACATGCATACAGTATGTTGTTACTCTTCATTATCTAAGATAAGATATCTTATTAAGATAATAGGATATTGTTGCTCCTCATTATCATTATCAAAGATATCTCATTTAGACTTCTGCCAGTGTCTGTTGCACTGTATGTTGAAAAGGTTTTTGCCTACTGAAAGAAAACACTGTTTCAGTCGGTGTTTCCAACCTGTTTGCAATACTTGAACTAAACCAGCTTTGATTTTACCACTTATGAAAAACCTGAGCAGTGAGCTAAATTGGATTTCTTGTTCTAAACCTACAGTAGCAAGCAAAAGTTAACCACAGAGGGCCCAGAGGTATTGCAGTAAGTAAATAAGGGAAAATGCATCTTAAACCCATATTGACAAATTAAAATTTATGAAGACACTTGACTTGCCTAATGGTCTGTTTAAAATTGAAGTTAAGTACATGAAGTGGTTCCTTAAATATAATTTCAGTCCTGTTGCATGTTGATTTGGACTAAGGTGTTTCAAGTTGGTTGATAAAAGTCTGCAACCATAAGTAAGTATTTTCCAGGTCATGTTCTCCAAACAGCTTCAAAGCAGTCGTTGTTAACTGCCTAACATTGCAAACTCCCCTCTACATGTCCTGAACCCAGGACCCAAGAGCTAAGGCTGTCTGTACTGGATGCTGTCTCTGTACAGTGCTGCCTGTGTCACGGGCATCGTTGCTAATTAAGCTGAGGGGCTTCAGCACACCCAGTCTGCAAGAGAGGCTCTGGCACAAAACACAAAAGGGCAGATTTTTCCCCAGGATTTCCTTATCACTCAGACATTTACAGAGTAATGATATTTTGCCTCCTCAATAAACCTGCTGGTAATTCTGAGCAAAGTCATGTCTGTTTGCTAATTGATTCCCAGAGGGTATCTTGTAGATGAAAGTAGTAGCTGCTGTCAGGATGGTGGTGCTTCTGCGTTTTGGTTCGACATTTCATTCACAAATAACTGATCTTTGAAGTGTAAGAGGAAACAGAAATATCCTATTGCTAAAGCCGATAAATCTGTTTTTTTTATTTCATTTTTTTTCATGCGTGCTTGCTTTGTAGTTACAGGCCAGTGGAAGCAGTGCATTCATACTGTGTGTCTAGTGGAACAATTTGATGTTAAGTTCATTGAAGCAGATGAGCCCTCTGTAAAACTACCATCTCTGTGCAACTAAAATAGCCCTCCTATAAAAGCTGGATGATAAACATCTATACATATTTCATATTTGGATGTTAACCCTTTCAAAACTCAGTTTGTGGTGGCCTCAGGAAAAGATGGTGGATAATCTTATACAGATAAACTGGATCTGTGTATTATTTTCAGTGTCATTCTTTGACATGCTAGCTATCATGACTGTGAAAAAAAAGTAATATAGACAATAAGTAATATAGGAGATTCATAATTCTGATGGCTTAGTTGAACCTTCTTTAATCTTCAGGTGCTGTTTTCAATTATTTCCTATTTGCCAAATATTTTGAAAACAATGTTTTCAATAATGAATCCCCCCCAAAAAGAACAGGTCTTCTTTCTGCTACGTTTTGAAGTTGAAGACTAGAATCCTTTGTTGTAGGAAATCATTTCATATGATTCAATTCACTGTCACTAAGTCTGCACTTACTGCACTACTTGGACATAATGTATTGCATACACCCTGGACACATAGCAGCTCTATTCATATTGAGTTTTGTCTGAGTTTATCTTATTAAATTTATTTTGCTCTATTATTATGTAACCTTATTTTGTAACTTTAATTTTGTGATTTTTATCCCCCTGGTGAGCTCATAGAAAAGATATTTCATTTCCAGCAACTACTGCTGCATGCAGTATTGTTGTGCATTTGATACATAAACTTTGATTGATTGTTTGATTGAATAGAACCAATCAAGAGGGATAATGGATAAGGATAAGCCAGCAGCCATATCACTCTACAACTCACAAATGGCAACCCACTGAAGCTAAGCAGGTGTGAGCCTGTTCAGTACCTGGTCAGTACCTAGATGGGAGACCTCCTGGGCAAAACTAAGGTTGCTGCTGGAAGAGGTGTTAGTGGGACCAGCAGGGGGTGCTCACCCTGCGATCCATGTGGGTCCTAATGCCCCAGTATAGTGACGTGGACACTATATTGTAAGCAGGCACCGTCCTTCGGATGAGACATAAAACCGAGGTCCTGACTATCTGTGGTCATTAAAAATCCCAGGGCATTTCTCGAAAAGAGTAGGGGTGTAACCCTGGCGTCCTGGCCAAATTTCCCATTGGTCCTTACCAATTGTGGCCTCCTAATAACCCCCATCTATGAATTGGCTTCATTACTCTGCTCTCCTCCCCCACTGAGAGCTGGTGTCTGGGGAAAGTACTGGTGCACTATGGCTGCCGTCACATCATCCAGGTGGGGCTGCACATTGGTGATGATGGAGGGGATCCCCATTACCTGGAGTGGAGTGTCCAGCAAAGCGCTATATAAGTGTAAGCAATTATTATTATAAAACAAAATAACACAATTCCAGAATGTTGTGATACAAGAGTGATCATGAGAGATATAGAACAGCCTACCTTTGAGATTATCTTTGCTGGTGGAGGAT